TGCTCTAAGGGTTTTTTCCCATGCCATATATCTCGAATGATGCCACAAGTAACATCTAATATAGATTTATTTCGATTAGGATGAAAGAAAAATTAGTTATCATACAAATATAAAATGCTAGCTTTAACATAAGATTATGATAAACTCGGTCACTTGTTTGCTCATTTTACTATAAGAGAGCTAGTCGAGGTATTTAGCCTAACCACTAGATTTAACTTGCCCTTGTTTATACTTATTTAACCCGGTATGACTTTGTCTTTACTTCTATTTGACTAAGTTGGGGGCCATGATACTTCTTTTATTTTTTTAGAGTATCTTTCTATAAAAGAATAAAAGGGGACCCATCAAAAGTTAGCATGAAATTAGTAAACCCGAAATTTTTTGTTGTAGTATAATTTTAAAAAAATTATGTTGCTAATACCTACGTGGGAATTTTTGTCAACAACCGTGCCTACTCAACATGAGAGGTATGGGTTAACTTGGCCATTAAATCACTTCTTCTTACCGATTTCTCAATACTTACTTTTGGCTAGGACATTAGCAACTTAGTTGGCTAACACCTATGTATTATCTAGAAGTAGTGGAAATACAATTATGGGTAATAATATGTGAATAGAAAAAAGCTAGAAGTCTAAACAAAAGAGAAGATAAAAACTAAAATTTTTTCTATTTTCCCTTTTTGAACCTTTACCACTAGCTTGCTCAATTGCAATAGTTACATCCTACAAAAGATTTTATTAAACATGAGGGGATTTCTAGTAAGTTTGCTTTCCAACATGTCTAAAAAATAAAAACAAAAAGAAGAGGTTGCATATACCTTTGAGGTTGTACTCTTCTATTCGTTTGTGCATTTTCTTCATCTATGCCTATGTCAACTTTAGTTTCTAAACAAGCAAATTTAGTATGTCATGTTACCACCACTTTATGATAATGAAGTAGAAGCATCATGACAAGATCTTTGTCTATGTTAGGAGCCTTATGAACGAACAAGATATTCTTAATAAAGAGCTCACATTGGATCAAAAAGCTCTTCCAATAACTATACCAACAATGGCTTTGCATGCTTGCTTGCTCTAGCGAGGAAAGTAGAACCACTATGTCATTTTGCAGATTCCTTTATAATTTCCTACCTCCACCTTAGTTCATTTTTGCTCAAGATTACTAAATAAATAAGTAATGATCGAGAAAACACCTTGATCAAATTTAAATTATTGATAATTCACTACTTAAGACTCCATATCATAACACTCTATGTACAAATACTATAATATGCAATTAAGAGTTTTTAGATGTGTTCATACTAAGAAATCGAGTTTTTTGTTACCAAGGCTATTCATAGCTACTTTTTAAGTCAATTCCTTTACTCTCTCAAACATAGCATGTGTGAATGCAACCTTCAAAACTTGTAAATGGTTAGACATAAAGGGAAAAAAAAGGTAAATTTTAACTTATGATCAATTAGTGATAAAATTTTGTCGAAGATGTCACTCCGATCTCGGTCGAGTGCATAGAAGTTGGCCAACCTAATATTGTCATTGAGATCTATAATATCTATAGTCCTTAGCACTTAGGGAATAGAAGCATAATCTAAGTCTCTATAAAAAAAAATTCAAAAAGGAAAAATTAACTAAAAGCTACATATTGAACCGACCTTTAGATCTTTGTAAAGCCTAATGGTATGCATCTAACCTCCCATAGAGACATCCTAAATGCAAAAGAGTAAGTGCATTTGAGTAACCAAGTGAAACTATTATGGCCATTAAACTCCATCTAAGGTTAATGTAGTTTTTCGAAGAGCCAACAAAGATAGTAAAACAAAGCCATGCCGATAGGAAAGCAACAAGCTCATATCTTAAAATGAAAAATAAAGATAAAAAAAGTTTATGATTTTATCATTTTAGAGTTAGAAAATGGAGGGAGAGAGAGAAGAAGAAGACTCATTCATTCGATAGATCATCATTTTTCTTAGCATATTTGTCTATAAAGCTTAGAAAGGTGAACGTACCATATTATAAAGTTTTGCTTTACTAGCTCCTCTCGCAATGCTTAATATAAGTGATCTCCATCATCCAACTCATTGTCAAGTAAATTTATGCTTCCAAATAGAGAAAGTTTCAAAAAAAAATTTAAGACACCCTCTAAAGTAGAGGTGATGTTTCTTCAAAGAAAACCCGAAAGTATGAATATGGGTGTTCCTATAAGAGAGTATATCTCTCTACATGAGTTTGTCTATGTCAAAGTGGGCGTTTAGGTGTTTGCTCAAGAGAATGACATCCAAAACTTCAGTAACTCTAAATTGGTTAACATATATGTTGTTTTTAAGAATCATATTTATTCATTCTCGCTATTTAAAGGACATTACTCTTGCTTTGTCATTATTTTCTTTATTTGAAAGGGTGAAGAAGGATAGAGGAATGCATTTCCCTTAATCTAAAATATCAAACAAGAATGAGATGTGATGAAATCATTACTAGGGATCATCTTGTATTCTTTATATATAAACCTCTTTGCTTACGACTTACTTTCTAGCTAACTAGTTTCCACCCAAGCCTTAGCTTATTTTGAAAACTCATCTCAAAAGATAGTTAGATCTTTCTATGTGTTGCAAGAAAAAACAAGGATATCCTTTTATTTACCTCTACAAAGTCTAATAGTTATCAATATATATATATATATATATATCTTTCTTTTCTTTTTTGAGTTATAAGACGGAATGTCAAGACGTTAAGCAAAAAATATATATATTTTTTGCTTAACGTCTTGACATTCCGTCTTATAGCCCAAAAAAGAAAAAGAAAGAAACAAGTTAGTTTACCAAAAATAGGAAAGAAATAGAAAAGAAAGACATGGAAATCGACCATGTGAAAAAGAAAAAGTTGATTGTAATGAAGAAAAAACACCATAAGTAATTAGTATAAGAAAAATTAGTGAGAGACATGTGAGACATGAACTCTTAACAAAACTTAATCATAGAAGAAAATGTAAGAAAATAGTTCTATTTAATACAACATTCAATAGATAAGTAATTAGTAGAATAATAATAACAATCTAGAATCAATAAAGGCATAATTTAGATAGTTAGAAGGAACGTAAGACACTACAAGTACAAAAACAACAGAACGGTTATAAAGAACTTGATATATTGCAACACAAGAAAAGAATATTGAGGAAAAACATAAGCAATAACAAATAAATGGTATAATAAAGAAAAAATTAGAAGATCATAAAGGAATAAGAAATCTATAAATGCCAACTCGTAGTAGAATGACAAAACACACAATAATACAACACATAAACAAACTCTTGCAAATTGTAAATAATTTTAAGAGTATTTTTTCAAGTTTTAACATACTAGAAACTTGATAGTTTAAAGTTATTAAGCAAGTACTTCATAAAGAATAATCAAGTAAATTGATAATTTATAGATCGATAGCTGGTTTTTAAGTATCATCTCTCATGTTTGCAAGATTGTGATCCCTAGTTCATTCGAAAAATGTTATGTCTAGAGTTTTAATCCTTAAATATTCATCATTCTCTTTGAATGTAAGTTCATTCTTTTTAGATTAAGCATTGTAAAGATCGCAATATTATGATCAAAGTACTATTAAAGATTTTAAACTTTTAATTCCTAGGTTTTCGGTAGTATTGCAACCCATTTTATCGGTATTTTGATCATTGAATATTTAGTTTTTTACCTTGGATTTGTTATTATGATTGCATATTAACTTTAAAGTTTGAACTCGTTAGCTTAGAGTTATTATTATTGTGAATTATTGTACTTGTGAACTTGAAATCCTACGAGTTTAGATAAGTTGTAAGGTCATTTCAAGAATTTGGAAGATAGGTTGTGTTGGAGACTACTATCCAACTATCATTTTATCTTTTGTTATAAAGTTTTATTAGTTCGGATCAGTATAAAAAAATTTGTAACACTACTTTAGTTAATAAGTTGGCTTGGGCCAATTTATGTCCTATTATCCGATTACTAAACATGATGAAAATATCAATGCCATGACAAATTCAAATCATCTTTTATTTTTTAGTAATGGTTGGAACCATACATATTTTCTTTCCTCCTTTTTTTTGTTGTTGAAATGATGTCATTTTTAGGGGTGATCATTTGATTAAACAATTCGGTTATGCATAATTTAGTTTGGTTTTTGTTTAACCAAATTAAGAAAAATAAAAACCAAAAACGAATCAAAATTAAATCGATTAATTCGATTTGAAACCGAATTATTTCGGTTCAGTTTCAAAATAATTCGGTTTAACCAAATTTTTTTGTTGTAAAAAACAAAAAATTTAATTGTATTCATTTCAACTTTTCCAACCCAATATCCCAAATCAACCATCCACTAAGATCCACCTCATAATAGATTCCGATGGAGCAGCTTATAGAAGCATACAAAAGGAGAAGAAAAGTAAACGAATAAGGAACTAAAGAAGGAATAATGAAAATCAAAAAGTTTGACAAATGAAGTATTGTTGATTAATTAGTATAAATGTAATTTTATTAATTATAGTCTCAAAATTTGTTCAATTTCAATAGAAAACAAACTCAAATGACAACAACAAGAACGAGATAAATTATGTAAAATGGGAGAGTAACATAAGGCCATTGCATCATCCCCGTAAAAAAGAGACACACATAACCCATATTCTAAACAAAATGGAATCATGAGCTTGAAAAAATGAAAATTTTCAGATGAATCTAATTGGACCTAGACCTTTCTAGAAAATACCCCCATAAGAATTTAACCTTCACGAAGTCCTTTATAATAATTTCAAAAGCAAAATAAACGAGTGAATGGAGAATTTCTTCTCCGAACCATTTCCTCCTTTGAGTTCATACCATTATGACTACCTTACTTAACTCGATAGCACCAAGTAATAAATCTAAAATTCAACTATAACTCGTATATGTATTTGCATTTTCCCTAAACAACTATTTGATCAAGCTCGCAACCCTTTAAGTTAGGCTCGCAAGGTCGTATGATCACCGGATTCAATATGAGGATTTAAAGTAGAGCCATCAAGGGTACTTGAGATTGGAATAGCAATTGTCTCTTTCACCTCGGATGGCGAGTCCTTTAACACCGAATCAACCCATGAGACATCGGGCTCCTCTCCATCATGCTCGATTGAACATGATGTGTAACTAACCATCCGCTTGAACAAACCTATACACATTCATGTTCTCGGCTTCCCATATGGACCATGAATTTGTACCATTAGATCCAAGGTCATATGATGGCTTAGAACCAAATTTCTATGAGAGCGAGACGACTTTGTAATTATTGTAGCATCCTCTCTCGGCGAACACGAGTAGATAGCTAAAAGCCTATAGAGAACAAAGGATCATTGATATAAGGTAACATCCCTTGCATTGGAGATGTTACCTCAAGCAAGAAGGAGTAAAGAGAAAGAAAAAATAGAGTTTTGGGTTTTGCTTTATCCACTAGTTAATAAACCACTCGGTGCCCTTGTTATCTCAAGTAGGAAAGAGTAGAAAGAAAGAAAAAATAAAGTTTTGGGTTTTGCTTTATCCACTAGCCAATAAACCACGGGTGCCCTTATTTTCCGGATGAGAACAGAGCATGAGAAAAAGAGGTGAAAACATAGAATATGAAAGGAAAAAAAGGTGAAACCAGAGGCCTAGTATAAGTGAAAAGGAAAAGAATGGAAGATTGAAGAAGGAGAACTAGAGAGACTTGTGAGTCCATGATCGCATCTTATCTTGCATGTTTCAGACTTTAGGCGAGAATGAAGATTGCCTTAGGGTTAGGGATTTAGAAATTAGGATTTTCTTCACTTTGTATTTTGGTTTTTGATCTAAATCGAATTTTTTTTTCATAAATCGAACCGAACCAAAATAATTTTAGTTTTTTTGATTCGAGTTTTAAATATAAAATGGTTCGATTCTAAATTGTATAATTTTATATTTAAAACCAAACCAAATTTCATAATTTGATTCGAGTTTCATTCGATTTTTAATTAATCGAACCGTTTGCTCACCCCTAGTCATTTTGATTTGAATTAAACAGTTATAATTCTTATGACTCGTCTATTAAAATATATATGCCTATAAGCAAAAGACATAGAAAAAGGTTTTTTTAGAGTCCAATCTTTGATTTTTTTTCTTTTCTATTTTGGTTTCTAACTATTGATTTCTCATGTTTGACTTTCCAAACTTTGATTTTTTATTAATTTTGATGCTCGAGTTTACTTGAAGTCTAATTTTACCGACATGTCAAGCTAGATCTACCATGTCACATTCTTTAACTATCGCATGGTAGTTGCAACAAACACGTTAGTAAAAAACCAAAGGTTGCAAACTAACCAAGTTAGGCCTAACTAAAGGGAAAAAAATTACAAAGAAGGGCGGAATTTTCCTAACTTTGTTGGTTGCCCTTGTAAAGAAAGTGAAAAAGGGTATCCATTGAATTAATTTTTTTAAACTTAAAATGAAACAAAAAAAAAAAAGATTCCAAGAACAACCCAAAAGAAATGTTAGTTGGAATCTACAACTATGGATAAGCTTTGGTGATGCAACCTTCATGGACTCACACTAATTCAAGAAGAAGATTCATCACGAGTGGGAGAAAAATATGTAATGTTTTTGAATGGGTTAATCCAACCATTTGTGATCATACAAGGCAAATTATTCTTAGCTTATTGAGAGGGTAAATAATCTTTAACGTGACAACAATTGTAAGAAAAAGAGCATTAAAATCTTATGGTGTTGTTTGCTACTTTCTTAGATGTTGGGTTTGTTGAATTTCAAGCTACTATGATGAAGGAAGGGAATTTTGATAGAGAAAAATAAGAGGTTGGGTTTGTTGAATTTCAAGTTGGGTGGGGTTTGATGAAGTGTTTTTTACTAGAGAAAAATCAAAGGTGGATTTAGGGGCTAGAGAAAAATCACATTGGCTTGATGAAGTCACCCAATGCTACTTAATCAAATGCTAGTGAAATTGATAGTGAAGCTACGATACCACTACATGAAGCTTGCACTTTTGTATTATCCAAGGCCTTGAAAATCAAGGAAAAGAGAGGTTTTTTTCTTTGGGTGTGGGTCGCTAGCATTAAACAATTTATATTTCGAGTCATATTTGGAACAATTTTTGGTTATGCTAAGTATAAGTTAAAAATAAAAGCAAAATTAGAAAATAAGTTGTTACTTTCTTTTCATGCCACATATGTATAAGCATATATTTTATTCCTTTCTTTTTATTTCCTTTTTCATTCTAGTTTCTTTTCTATGTAGTCTTTTTCTTATTTAATTCTTTAATAGGTTATGCTAAGGTTATTCATGGATTAGATTTATAGAATACATCCAACAGTTTTAAGAAAATATGGTTAGTTCGATATTAATAAAAAAATTTATTTCAAAACTATTTTTAATAAAAAAATAAATTTGTAATCTATTTAAAATTTAAATTCCAATCCAACTTGTACAAGAACATTCGGATTCCGAATGTTTCCTTATTATTCCAAGCCAATTATATGATATGAGCTAAACAATCTAAAAATATTTGTCAAACTTGGTTAACTATTTACAAGATTATGTAATATGCAAAAACAATGGCAACGCGAGCAACACTTTGTACATCTAACATCATCATCCTTTTTTTTTTCCTTCAAGAGTTGAATGTCTAATTGTTCTATGATTGTCATGTGTTATTAGTTGTTTTGTCGCGCTACGCTACGGACAAACTAAATATATTTACTTAGTTTAATAACAAGTATTATGATGTTGATCAATAAAAATATATTAAATTACAAATAAAATGTCATCTAATTTTATAATTTCTAACCAAAATTTTGCATCCGTTTTTTTTTTAAATAAATTTTGTAGTTAAAAAAACACAATTTGTTATTTTTTATGTGTTTATTCTTAAATAAAAACTCGTAATAATCTAAATATAAAATTAAAAAAACATTTCAATATTTTTAACAATATTATATCGAATAAATAAAGTAATAATTCATATCAAACTCGTATAAAAATTAACAAATAAATCTTTTTTATTCTTGTTTCATATTGCTAAGAAGATTTTTTTTTAGAATATATATATTTTATTGATATATATATTTATTTACAAAATAATGAATAATATTAATATAAAATATTATATTTGAATTGTTAGATCTGTTCTTTTAAAATAATATTTTAATTATTTTATTTTAAAAATAAAATATAAAAAAATAATAGAAAATTGTTGGTGTTATGAGTGTAGATGCATTATACATAGTTAATTTATAATAAAATCAATAACTCTAATATATATATATATATATATATATTATGATCGTATTCATTGGGTTAGAGCATGTAATGTAAATTGAATTTAAAAAAATATATATATATTATAAAAAATATATTGAAGTTAGTAGAGTGTAATAAAAAAAACTACAAAATTAATTTTGATAAAATCCGATTATATAAAAAATAAGAAAATAAAACATGTGAATTCTATTTTTTAAATTTGATTATATAAAAAACTAAACAACTACAAAAACAAAAAATATATTCAAAAATCCATACATAAGAAAAAAATAAGTTAAATTTATTAACAAATAAAATTACATAAAAAAGAAAAATAAAAAATTAATTTGATGAGAATTCTTTTAAGAAACGACAAAATGAAAATATCAATCTTAAATAATAAGAGTAATATAATCCGATATTTCTATTTATTTTAAAATATCATAAATATTTTATAATTGTCGGTTTGTAGAAAAAATAATAATTTTTTTTCATAATTTTCATTCCCAATTCAATAATAATAAAAGAAAAACATAAATTGGTAAAAAAAATCAACCAAAAAAAATAGAAGAAGAAAAAATTAGTGATTTATTTTTCATAATGTTCACACTCAATTCAATAATAAAAAACATAAATTGGTATAAAAAAGCAAAAAAAAAAAAAAAAAAGAAGAGGCAAGCCCATTGCCTGTTCTGCAGGCCACTGTAGCAGTTTAACTTAATGCAATAGGTGAAGACATAAAACAATCTAGGGATAAAAATTTTATTTTAAAACTTGAAGGATCAAAATAAAATATGAGATAAACTTTCAATATAAATATCTTAAAATAATTATAAAATTACGAAAATGCCATCTCATTTATAGTACATTTATAGTATTTTATGAGTCAATGAACAGTAAAAATCATTGTTTTTAAAGTCTGCTTGTTAATATCTAGGATTCACTAAGTCACTGTTTGGCTCCACTACGTTTCTATAATGTACATTAAATACTGAAAAGCATGAAAAGACAGTCCTCTCGAGATATGGCAATGTCTTTAGTCAGGAGTCTTGAATCAACACATAATTTAATCACCCTTTTCCACTGCGGCGTACATTATGAGTAAAATAAGAGTCAAATCAATACTTTTCGGGACGGAGACAGTGGAAAAGTAAATTAGTAGGTAATTTAAAGTGATTCGATGGTCGGAAATAATTATTTGTCATCTCCCAATCCATTTGCAAAACGTCTGTGCGGTGTAGGAGAAATAGCGAGTCATTTCAAAGGGGTTGCTGTCATTCGCACATGCATTATTAACATCTATCCTACCAAGCTTTGTTTTTTTCTTTCTCCTTTGTCCTTTAGGCTTTTACGGTTCTAAAATATTAATGGAGGCATTGTCGAGCATTGATTAACTCCGGATAATATATATAAAGCGTCTCCAGATATACAAATTCATGTGTGTCCGACAATCAAATAAATAGAAATTTCAGGGGAGATTTTTTGAGTTAACTCAAGATGATTTTGTAGTAAACTAATGTCAAATTCGTCATCAGAATTCAAAGCCCTAAACATCTACCACAAACTTTTTAGAGATGTCATACACTGTATTTTTTAGTATTCACCAACCAAATATGTTCTTTTAGCCCATGAAGAAAACATCTCAACTTATCATCTAGAGTTCATGAAAGACATGCCGACACAATTTATTAGTTTCATGGGATATAAATTTTGTCCAAATATCAGAATGATCTTATCTTATCATTCTTATCATTATTAATTATTTTTTCATTATTTTATAAAATCAATAACATCATTAATCATTAAACTTTGATTCTTGACCTTTATTATAAATTAGAATATTATTGAATTTACTTAACTCTCTTTCGTCCAACAAGAAGATATTATTAGAATTGAAATTCTTGGTTAAAAGAAAAACTAA